TCGCCCTCCTCCCCCAACTCGCGCGTGCACACGCACTCGTCTGCAATGTTGCTGTCGTCGTCCGCTTCTCCGTCGTCGCTCTGCGGTCGGGCTGCTCGTCGGGCGCCATCGGGGCTGAGGAGGTCTCGATGGGTACCTATCCTGATTTCGTGAAATTCCTTGCTGGCTTGTGGGTCTTCAAAGATCTGGAGGAGGTTACTTCTGTTAGTCCATATACTCGCAAACTTCTGATCTGCTTTCGCAAGGCCTTCCAAGTCGTCTCTGAACTGATGGGCCCAAGGGGTACTGTGCGCTGTGAGCCCCCCGCCGCTCGTAAGTCTCGGGTGCTCGAGAAGTCGATCGATTTCCAACGTTCCAAACATAGCTGCAAGGACCTGTTTGTGGTTGTGTGGGGCTTTGGATATCTGTTGCCACCACCTCAGGCGCTGCACTCTAAGCTCGATGGCGGTTCGGCTAATGTTCCAGTGGCTGAATACTGCACTATTTGTCATCGTCCTGACTCGGCCATCGCACTCGTTTCTGGCTTTGCCATGCATCAAGTAGCGGAACATGCAGACCAGCACGGAGTCTAACTTATCCGTGAACTCCGCTGGCAGTACGAAGGCTGCGAGGCCCGCGATCGCGGCGCTGTACACAAAGCACAAGAAGAGCGTGCGAAACAGCTTGTGGTGGAGGGGCTGCCTCCATACCTCCCCCAATGATCTCCACGCAGCACGGGCTCCTTTGATGCGGTTCTTGAGTTCCGTCCCGAGTACCCCGTCGAAGCTAAGGATCGGCCCGAGAACACGAGCTTCACGACAGACTGCTCCGAGGACGCGTTTTTGACGAACTAGGTCCCTGGATGCCTCAAATGATCCCGCTCCGTGCATGCAGATGAGGTGGTTGGTCTTATCTGCGTTCAAGTAGTGACCGTTATTCTGCATGTGTGTCTGGAGCTCGCGCGTGGCGTGGTTCAGCTGCATCATGATGTGGCGTGCGTGGGGTGCAGATGCATGTATATGTACGCGTGATACGTCATCCACGAAAAGACCAACTCCTATGTCAACCTGCGTTTGTTGTTGTCCTTGGCCTGGGAAAACGACTGCGAGCGAATGGCACCAAGCGGGACTGATCCTACCAGGCGGATCAGTGCAAGTAAGTCGTCGTACCGCCTGCTGAAGTGCTCTGGGTCGTATTTCTGTCCGTGCTCGCTCACGTGATATCGCCTATCAATGCACATGCATAGCGCCTCCGCTAGCACTCCCCATGCAGGCCCCGCTCGTCGTTTGGGGGCCCGTCGTAGGCATCGCATCTGTCCTGCCCGATCCTGGCGGATCTGATCGCCGTCGTCCTCGTCGAAGCTCCCCGTCGCCGCCGCCCGCCGCCGCAGGCGCCCGCGCTGGCCCAGAAAAGGAAGTCGTCGCCCCCGCCGCCGCCGCCAACCGCCGCCGACGCAGGCGGTGGCCCGAGGAAAGGGAGAGAGGAAAAGTAGGTGGGTGGGGGGAGGGGGTTTGACCCCCCCCTCCCTCCGTCATGGAAAGGGGGGGGAGGGGGGGAGGGGTTGGGAAACCACCCCCCCCTCAATTCAGGGGGAGGGGGGTCCGGCTCCAAACCCCCCCGCGCTCTTTCAGACCTCTGGGGAGCCAGGTTGTAAAGAATCACGATGTCGCATGACTGGGATGCAGGATGCTTTCCACGACCAGAGCAGCCAGAGATACAAGTTGCCACCTCTACACAAAGTGGACCCCGACTGATTCTGGACGGCAGTTAACAACCACGCGAAATGCCCGTTCGTTGCATGTCGTGCGGGTTCGCCATTTCGCAGCTGTGTTGTCAGGTCTCTAGCTCTGGCCTGGGCAGCAACGTGCGTTGCAGTACTTCAACTTGGTCTCATACACATGCCAATTTCTGCAAAAACCTTGCTCTGGTTGGCCTGCATGGAGTCGCCCCTGGCACCTCCTGGGCGCATCCCCACCAAGACCTCAAGGCCGACCTAGCAAAGGCGACGAGGGGCCTTCCAGAGGTCCTCCTCCTCCTGCCCGTCCTCCTCCTCCTCCTCCACCTCCTCCTCCTCTTCCTCCTCCTCCTCCTCATCTGCCAGTTCTTTTCCTTCTAGATAACTCCTCCCTGTCGCATCCCGAAGCCGTTCGAAAAGGCGGGCCGGGCGTTTCACTTGAGAGTTCCTCACCATGTATGACCCTGCAGCTTAAAAGTTGCAAGAGCTTCACGGATGGAGGACTGGTGGTTTTCAAAATGTGGTTCTCGCCTTGGCGCCACGCACATTCTTGTGGTCGGCGGGGCGAGAGCGAACCTCTTCCGCTAAAAGCTAGGCGGGCTACGCACAGCTTCAGGGGCCACGCACAATCGTCTTAACAAAATGTAAAAGTTTCATGGATTGGGGGCGGGCGGTTTCAGAATGTGGCTCTCGCCTTAGCGCCGCGCTCAGTCGTCGTAAAATGTCACCAGAATTTCACGGATTGAGGGTCCTTTTCAAAACGTGGTTCTCGCCTTAACGCCGCGGACATTAGTTTTTCACAAAATAGGCTTGCCCTATAGGAGTCCTAGTTCAAACCGTACTAGTTGGTCCGTTGCCCCCCCAAAAAAATCCGACCCCCCCCCATAATTCCTATGCCTATGCCTATGCCTATGCCTATGCCTATGCCTATGCCTAAGCCTATGCCTAAGCCTATGCCTATGCCTCCCCCTAACTTCTGTGACTACGCCTATGCCTATGCCTGCTTGATTGCTTGCTTGCGTGCTTGCTTGCGCGCTTGCTTGCACGCTTGTTTGTTTGCTGAGTTGCGGATTCAAAGCATGCTTGATTCCTCTGATTCCTTGCATTTCAGTCCTCTAATTTATTTAGAGCTAACGCTGGCTGATATGACACTTGCAAGACTTTCACGAGTTCGCATGGCTAACGTCCCAGAAGTTCGCCGGCCCAACGGGCCAGAGGCGTGCTAAGATCTCCTGTTCCTGGTTATCAATATTTCTAGTTCGCGCACGCGGGGCGGCCCCTGGGGGTCCCCCGGCGACAAGTACCCCGACCGCCACCCGACCGCAGCCCGGCAACTGCTACTCAGAGATGCTTTTCCTCCTGGGTGTGGCTTCATCAGGCCCCCCAGAGCGCGCCAAGAGTGCCCCAAGAGGCCCCCAAGACTGCCCAAGAGGCCCCCGAGACGCCCAAAGAGCGCTCCAAGACGCCGATGATGACCCCAAGACGGACCAAGAGGCCTCCAAGTGGCCTCCAAGAGGCCTCACAAGAGGGCCCCGGAAAATCATCAATTTTACTATGGTTTTGGAAGGATTTGGGCCTTGTCGCCTTTTCGGCCATCCGATGCTCCAAGACGGCCCAAGAGGCCCCCAAGAGCGCCCCAAGACGGGCCAAGAGGCTTCCAAGAGGGCCCCAAGAGGGCCCAGGAGGGCCCCGAGACGGCCCAAGAGGCGCCCAAGACGGCCCAAGACAGCCCCAAGAGGGGCCCAAGAGGGGGACCACGAACCGAAAACTCGAGCCTTCCGCCCCAAGAGGGCCCCAGGAGGCCCCGAGAGGCCCCCAAGAGGTCCCAAGATGCCGCCAAGAGGCCCCCAAGAGGCCCCAGGAGGCCCCCAGGAGGCCCAAAAGAGGCCCCAAGAGGCCCCAGAGGGCTTCAAAAATGCCTCCCAGGCGCCCCCGAACGGCTTCTCAAAAGACCCCAAGAGGCCTCCCAAAGAAGCATCTTGACGACGACCCTGTTTGGCCCCAAGAGCAACACAAGATGCCAACGAGAGGCTTCCTCCTCCGCCCCTTCCTCTTCCTCCTCCTCCTCCTCCTACTTATCTTCATCCTCCTCCTCTCCTTCTCATCCTCTCCTCCTCCTCCCCTCCCCTTCCCCATCCTCACTTTCCTCCTCCTCGGCGGCGCCACAATGGCCCCAGGCCCACGGCGAAGCAGTAGCGATCGTACAACATGGGCCGGCGGAATGAGCGAAGCGATTGAATAATGCTTTGGAGCGATTCAGGGTTGTCAAGGCGCAACAGTTACGTTGATTCGGGGTGCTGAAACCCCTGGAACGGTGTTTCGGCACGGTTCTGGATCGTCACGCTTAACAGTCAGGTTGATTCGTGGCGTTGGAGTCCCGAGAACAGTGTCTTGGCAAGCTTCAGGATCTTCAAACGGTTGTCTCCCAACGGGGCACTTCCCTCAGTGGGCATGAACCCTTGTAGGGGCCTATGAAGAGGGTCTTTGAAGGGATGGTTTACTCCGACATCGTTGATGAGTCTTAGGTTTACACTGGTCCTCCTCCTCCTCCTCCTCCTCCTCCTCCTCCTCCTCCTCCTCCTCCTCCTCCTCCTCCTCCTCCTCCTCCTCCTCCTCCTCCTCCTCCTCCTCCTCCTCCTCCTCCTCCTCCTCCTCCTCCTCCTCCTCCTCCGCCTCCTCCCTGCTCCGAAGACCGACGACTCGACTTTCGCGAGTCTCCAGCCCCTCGAACTCTCGACACCTCACCCAGGACCAGCTCTTCCTTCTGAGACGTTCTTCGACGGCCCCGTGGCCCGAGAAGTGGCCTCCACTGAGAAGAATGTTGGCCCCCCGACCTCTCCGGAGGCGTGCTCTGGCCAGCCTTCCGAGGGAAATCCGGCCGCGGCCACAGGGGTGCCCGAGGAGGACCAACCAGGCAGGCCAATGAACGAAAACCTCCATCCCTGGGCCCCCGAGGTCTGGCCACGTGTTGAAAAAAGTGGTCCTGGACCAGGGTGTCCCCAGCTTTTTCGCGCCCTTCTGAAGCCCCTCCGGCCCTCGGGGCCTCGTGAGGGGTGCTCTGGAGGGGGCCTTGGGCCAGAGACACTGTTAACCTTTGGCTGGAGGCCTCCCAGATGGGGTCAGAGTGGATGGGTCTTGGAGAACATCGGGCTCCACATCGAGTGGCATCGCCGATGCATCGGCGATGCGGCGCGAACCTCCGACCCCATCTGGGAGCCCTAGCTTGGCAAAACACGGTCGGGGTCTTCGCCGCAGGCGTTCGTCGCCGGAGGCGGCGAGGCGACGCCTTCCGGAATCGCTTCGCCTGGTACCTGCCCTGGGTGTGCGGCAGGTAGGTGTGCGACCCTGCCTCGGTCGCACCGAGTGGCCCCGGGGGAGGGGCTCACAGCAGCCCGCAGGGCGCAGGAGAGGATCGAGGAGCATCGTGAATCGAAGATACCGCTTGAACGAGGACCGAGGATCGAAGGATCTTCAGGGGCTCCCAGAGAACCCCAGATGTCTCTGGAGTCTGAAACATCAAGCAGCACCAACAACCTACACAAACTGCGAGCCTCGATCCTGAATCTCGAGCGGTGACCCGGAGATCGAGGTATATTTGCTTGACGCTGCCGAGCCTTTTCGGTCATCCTTGGGTCGCACTCGTCGCAGCGGCTGGGGCGAGCGAGCGAGCGAGCGCCGATTCCGCTCCCTGCGTGCAAGCCAGGAGCTTCTACGACGGAGGACGGCGGCGGGACCCCATGACCCCTCAGAAGGCGTCCGTCCGACAGCTCTTTGGTCCGTGTGGGCGTCGTGTTGCACGCTGGCTGGTCGGGAGCGAGGGTGGAGGGGGAAGAGAGAGGGGAGGGCGAGGATCGAAGATCCAGGCCAAAAATCTGATGTTTCAGTGCCGTTCTGTGCCCCCAACAGGAGCGACCTCGGCGCCGCGGCTGGATCCGCCTCGAAACCTTGATTGGAACGCACTCTAAGGTAGCTCTGGGGGGTACTTTTGAGGGAAACCCAGGACATCCAGGAGCCACGAAAAAAATGCGACGGGCGATGTGGTTTCCAATGGCTCTGTATCAAGGGGCTGGCTTCAGGCCCAGGGAGCGCAAAACAACAAACGACATGCGACGAAAGGGGGGTTAAGAGTTACAGGGCCTCTGTGGCTGCACATCGAAATCAAAAAAAAGGGAAAAGGGGAAAGGGGATTCGAGGTGCGAGTGAAACATTATGCAGGACTTCAAAAGCCTCTTGGTGGCTTTGCGAGCTTCCTGGACGCTCTACGGACAAGGAAGAATGATGTTTTCGATATTTGTTACGTGCTCGTGCTGGGTAGGACTGAACACAACAATCGCAGCGACAGCGATCTGGATGGCGGGAATTATGGTGACGACGGCGACGAGTGTGGCGAGAATGCGATGATGATGATGATGATGATGAGATGATGATGATGATGATGATGATGATGATGATGATGATGATGATGATGATGATGATGATGATGATGATGGTGATGGTGATGGTGATGGTGATGGTGATGGTGATGGTGATGGTGATGGTGGTGGTGATGATGATAACGATGATGATGATGATGGTGATGATGATGATGACGGCGATGGTAATGGTTGGTAGCAACATGTTGAGGATGCTCGTCGGCGACGTGCACGATGGCGGAATGCGTTGGCGAGACCAGGGCCTGGCGGGGCTGGCGAGCGGGGTCGCAGGGTTTTGGGCAGGGCGGGGGGGGCCTCCCCGCTCTTCATGTAGCAATCTAAACTTATCCGGGGGTACGAAGTACAGCTTTCGCTCAGGACTTCCTCCATAACGAATGGCTTCCAGCGCTGTTTCCAGCGGTCTCCTCCAGGTTTCACGAGGCTTCCGCGGTGTCCGCTCGTGTCCCGAGCAGGAACTCTTCTTCATGAGCTCAGCATCCGAATCTAGGTTTTCGCTTGAGGACTCGTCGTCACGCAACAAGTTTCTGCCTAGATATCCGCCAGTTCCGCGGGTTTCCGCGATTCCAGCGCGCTTCGAACCAGGATGACAACGGCTGAAAGCCCTCCGACGCGATAGATCTGCCAGCGGAGGGCAAGAAAAAATCGAAAGCGGACAGCTTCCACTGTCTGTAGTGGGGGGCTAATGTCCCAAAAGAAAGACGGCGACGACATCGCGAAGGCTATTGGTAAAGCCGCTATCGCTTCGCATGTCATTCGCGTCTGCGCAAGCACGCAGGCGCTCGCGGCTGCACACGTACAAATGCGCGGTAAAAGCCGTACCATGCGTGCCTGCGCGATACGCACACCCGTGCGCGCTGTAAGGCTGGCGGACGGGCGGGGTGCGTGCGCAACCTCCCCAAGATGTGCGTCAAAGCACTCGCTTGTCTGCTTCTCTGCTTGAATCGATGCTTGGGCGCGCTAGGTGCCTGGTGAGCGCGATAACGTACAACCAGGGATCCGTCCCCATGCCGCGAGGCACTGAGCGGAGTGTCCTCAAGTCTCCTTTGAGCTCACTGCACTGGTGTAGCGCGAGTAACACACGAAGGTCCCAAGGGACCTTTCTGGGGAGATGTTGGCGGCCCCGTAGACCCAGGGAGCGCCCAAGGCAGCCCAAGAGGTCCATGAGAGCGCCTTAAGACGGCCCCCAAGAGGAGTACTTGAGGCTCCCAAGACGAGCCAGGAGGGGGAGCACGACCTAGTCTCCAGGAAGACAGGAAGACACGAGAGGCCTCCAAGAGGCCCCCGAGACGCCCCAAAGAACACTCCGAGACGGCCCAGGAGGAGGCCTCGCAAGTGGCCCAAAGAGACCCCTCAAAGACCTCTGGTCCACGACCTAGACACGGTGGCGGGATGGGCAGAAGGCCGCTAGATATACGAAGCCAACTCGCGCCCAGCGCATAGACCTCACCTCGGTCTACCAGACTGCATCGGGCAACTTCGGACCTGACCTGTTCGTGCATGGGCGCGGTAGGCCTTCTGTACGGAAACTGAACGAAACTCAGGCAAGAAGCGCCAGGGGGAGCAAGCAAAAAGGAAAGCAGCACGAGAGGTAACGAGAAAAGAACAAACGAGAGAGAGAGAGAGACAGAGAGAGAGAGAGAGAGCGAGGTGGAGAAACAGAGAGCGGGAGAGAGAGAGAGAGAGAGAGAGAAAAAAAAAAACAAAAAAGAGCAGACGACCAACAGTCGGCGTCCAAGGTGACACAGGAGCCGTCCCCACACCACGCTGTGGGTTACTAGAGCTGGTCAAGCGCAGGCCACACTCAGCAAGATGGGACCATAATGAGACCTGAAGCAAAGAAAACATGCAATCCTGCTGCTTCGATGAGAAGTACCGACAAAGATAGATATGCAATAGCTGGGCAGCCCGAAACCTTGACGGCAATGTAGTCCACCAAACTCAAGTCCGTGACGTTAACATCCTCTCTGCAGACACCGAGATTAAGGAAAGGCGAGTTGTCCGCCGCAGCTGTGAGGGCCCGCCTCTATGCACCTCCTCCCCGTTAGATGCATCGTGAGAAGACCGTTCGCTGCCGACTCAAGAAAATGTACAGCATACTGGGGGGCAGGTGCTGCACGGTGAAGTACTTCCTTTAGGCCACAAAAAAGTTGTACGAAGACACCCGGCGGTGTGAGATATGCGCTGTATATCGTGTTATTGCGCAGAGCATGACTGTAGCATAGCGAGCGTACAATTGCACCTTGGCCCAAACCTTTTTAGGGCCCTTGAGTCATCCCAGCAGCGGTGTGGAAAACATCTCAGATGTTGTTACGGTTTCTCATTCTTATTGCCATCAAAAACTTCTGGGGCTTTGATAAGTTCATATTGGTAGCGGAGCCTGGTCAGCCAGGCTCACGCTTCGACCTTCCATATCTCGGCAGCAAGTCTCCTGATTTCGTCGCCACCTCCCAAAGCTTCGACCCAGCGGCGGATCTCATAGACCGCCTGGTCAGTTTCTCGTCAGAGTCCACCTTTGATTTCACAGCCGATCTCACAGTTGATCGCACAGAACGGGGCAGCTTCGATTTCGTGCAGCACGCGTCGGACACCAACCCCTTGCAGTTTCAGTTCAGCACAATGTCTCAGCCGATGGCGGACATGCTACCCGAGCGAGGAGTTCCACAGTTCGACGGCACGCTCAGCAAATGGAAAGAATACGAGAAGCGGGCGATGATTTTCATTAAGAACATTGGAGAAGAAGGAGGGCGAAGCGGCTTTCATGCTCAGCGCAGGTCTCACAGGCGAAGCTTGGGACGAAGTGGAGGATCTCTGAGCAGACGAGCTCATCAAGCCCAACGCGGCGAAGCAGCTCATGGCCAGATTACGGAATATTTTCAAGATGGACGATAGGACGGAGCTCGCAAACGACTTTGAGTACTTGTTCAAGCTCAAGCGGTACAAGGGCAAGACGCTGTTCACCTACATCTCACGAGTGCGCGCTGCAGAGCGCAAGCTCAGGACGCACGACATCGAGCTGCCGGCGAAGGTCCGAGGCTGGCTCACACTACCACGAGGAGGATACAGCGCGGACCAGAAGGCGGTCATCATGTCGGTAGTGGGTAAGGATATCACACAGGAGAAGGTTACCGAGGCGTAAGAGACAACGTTCGGGCAGGAGAGTATCATACACGAGCCGAATCACGCACGGAAGCAGTATTACGTCGACGAGGACACAGCAGAGTACTATGATGAGGAGTTCTACACTGGCGAGCCAGAGGACGAGCCAGACGACGACGACCAGACGTACTGGGCGGAGGATGACGAGACCTGGTACGACTGCGACGAGAGCTATTACCAGCGCAACCCCAACACAGCTCAAGAGCTCGACCCAGGCGAGTACGACGAAGTCTACGCGGCCTACGCGGACGCCAGGAAGCGGTTCAACGACCTGAAGCTAGCACGCGGTTTCTAACCGGTAGTGCCGATGGTAGGCGGAAGCTCAGGTTCGGCCGCAGCATCAGCAGGAGGTTCACACAGACGAGGCCAGTCAAGCAGCAAAGGTACCAAAGGACGCGGCAAGTCCAAAGGACGAAAGGGCAGCCCAAAAGGATCATCACCTCCAGGCGCGTACAGCAGACCACGACCTACGGTAGCGGACCCAATCGGAAGGGCAAGGGCAGCTACGAGGCCAGCACCCACATCAGCACCATCGGCCAACTGTCTACGATGCGGCAAGCCCGGCCACTGGGCTGGGGACTGCACCGAGCCACCCAACAAGAAGCGGTTCCGCACCGACGACAGCTTGATGGTCGATGAGGTCTACTGGGACGACAAGTGTCATAGCAAGGCCAACACCAGCGCAATACCAGCCAGCAACGGAGTCATGGACTGTGGAGCGACGACGCTCATGTCCAGCTCAGAGACGGCCAAGGACTACGTGAGGGACTGCAAGCAGAAGGGTTATCCCATCGAGGACCTCAGGTTCTACAAGTGCCGACGGTCATTTCGGTTCGGCAACGGCAAGATCGAATGTGCGCAGTGGTGTGGCACAATACCAGCCAGCCTCAAGCAGAAGTCAGGCACGCTCTACATCTACGTGGTACCGGGACGCACGCCCATCCTATTCCCCAGGCCGTTGCTGGAAGTGTTCGGAGTCCAGGTCGACTACGCCAAGCAGACAGTTGCGTGGAACGGCGGCGACTTCGAGGCAGCAACGCTATCACCTCAAGGACACTACACGGTGGACCTACTAGAGGAGTTGGACGGGAAAACGAGTCACCACACGAACGACTTCGAGTACGAGCCCGTCGATGCAGCGCATTTCCTGGACCCCAGCAACGAGACCATGAGCGGCCTAGAGTTTCTGGACAACGCCTACCTGGCGGACTCCAGCGAGGACGGCGAGCAGTGGGAGCAACTACAACGGCGACCTCACACGGAAGGCTGTTCCCGACGCGTAGTAGAAGTAAGTTGCTGCAAAGCCTACATGAAGCAGTGGCAGTGTCAGCAGCATTCCTCATGTGGCAACCTGTGCTTCACTACGACAGCCATCGAGCCAGTCGACACCACGTGTTCGGAGCCATGCAGGTGCCTACTATCACCCACGACGGACGAGGTCAACTTCAGCACCGACGACGACCCCGACAACGGCATCCAGCAAATTTCGCCCAATTTCGTTCAGAAGATCGACTGAGCCGTGAAGCATGCCAGCGAGCAGTACCTACAGACCATGAGGAGGGCAGCTCACCAACGGTGTACTACGAGACGGACGATATGGAAGTCTACGCTGGAGAGGCCAGACATTCACAAGCACTACGAGATTTAGGAGCACGCGTGGAAACGTTTGGGCTCAATACAGGTTGGGATTTCGCAAAGGAGGATCATCAGAAGGCATTCCTCAAGAAGCTGACGGAGGAGCAGCCAGAGGAGGTTCATCTGTCACCAATGTGCGGACCATGGTCCAATATGCAGGAGCTCAACATCCACCAGCACCCCGGTTGGAAGGAGTACCTCACCGAGCTGCGAGAATGGCATCATCGAGTACATCTACAGTTTGTGGCCAAGATGCCAAGATGTATCGCACACAGCAACAGGGAGGGCGACATGCTCACATCGAACATACAGCTGCATACCGTGGCGTTCAGCCGCCTATACGGCGAACACAGCACGTTCGACCAGTGCATGTACGGGCATGCGATCGAGGGCAGCACGAACATGGTCAAGAAACCGACGACACTTAAGACGACCAAGAAGCTCATGGCAGCAGTACTCAGCGAGCGATGCGACCGATCACATGGACACGACCTACTGGAGGGACAGAAGCTCACCAAACCTGCCGAGGACTACCCGTTCATCCTAGCAGCGACGATGGCACGATGGCGCAAGTCATGGTCGAGCCCGAGATCAAGGACCTACGCAGCGGAGGACTCAACGCAATCGGAGGAGGGTACCAAACCCGAGCACTCGGATTGCAGTCGTGAAGCTCACCAGCACGCACGACTACGAGAGCAGTACGGCACGGAGGCACTACGCTTCGTCAAGAGGCTTCACCGGAGCATGGGACACCCCAACCCAGCAGTACTGCATCGTCTACTTCAACAGGCAGGCACCCAGGACAACATCCTACAGTGTGCATCGGAGTATCGGTGTGAACACTGCATGGCCAGACAAGGTCCACCAAAAGCACCCAATGCGTCAGCGAAGCAGGCCACCACAAATTAACGAGATCGTCTACACGGACGTCTTCTGGATCAAGAATATCACCGGCAAGACGGCAGTTCTTTCTATGATAGACGGGGCCACGCGCTACTGTGCACTACGTACCATCAAGACCGAGAAGGCAGAGGAGCTTATCAAGGCAGTTGAGCGTGGCAGGATCGGGCAATTTGGACCCATGGGAGAATTGCGGACAGACGATGGTTCAGGTTTTGCTTCAGATCATTTTACACAGTTTTTAGAACAGCATAGCATTTCGATCATTATTGCAGCAGGCGAGGCGCATTCCAGTTTAGGAGTGGTGGAACGTCGGCATCAGGTTGTTCGAGGGGCAGTGGCGCCCGGACGGCTATCACGGAGGATTTGATTACGGAGGCTTGTATTTATGTACCACATCAGATCAATCGGTTGGCTTTCACAAAGGGCTATTCACCATGCCAGTGGGTTTGGGGAATGGATCCGACTATTACCACGACCAACTCCAGCGACAAGTTCTCACCCGCGACCCTGTACCGGATGAAGGAGGACGAGGACTTCAAGAACGTACTTGAGCGACGATCAATGAGAGCATCAGCGTTTATGAAGGCGGACGCCTCGGCCAAACTACGACGTGCACTGCTACGACGGCAACAACGGAGATGGCATCACCACCTTCCCCTAGTCCAGGGATACCCAGCACTACAGAGGACGAGCAGATGGACGTCCCCGGCACACCTCAACAGGAGAGACAGCCAAGTGAAGAACAACCAGATCAAGCACCAATACCACCGACACCCCCACCTCAGCCGATGGGATCACCAGCACAGTCAACGACTCCACCACCCACGCAGACACGGTCACCACCACCTCCAGTTCAGCTGCTACCACCAATACCAGCACCAGTTACGTTGGGACCCGCACTAACACCGGCTCCAGCATCTGCTACGGCGAGTTCGGAGTTAAATGAGAGTCGCAGGCGATTGGACGCAGCAGAAACTTCCATCCTTACCCGACCTGGAGGAGGACCACCGTTATCAGTACCAACGGCAGAGTCTCAGCCAGTGGGAGACGACAGCGCAGACGACGAGCTCGCAGCCATGCAGCTCATGCTAGAGGACAAGGACCTACCATTCGGATGGGAGTTCGACGGCAACGACGCCAAGATCAACGACATCTACGCCGAGATCAGTACCAGGACCATGACACCACACGAGCGAGCAGCATTCATGGATGGCAAGCGGAAGAAGCTTGAGGAGCTTTTCGGAAATGAAGTTTGGAGTTTCATAAGCCTACCGGAGACGAAGACACCAAGTGCATCCTGAAGGCCAAGTGGGTAAGGTACTGAAGTGGACCAAGAACGACGACGGCACACCGAGGGCCAAGGCACGTTTGGTGATACAAGGCTTTAACGACCCAGACGCACTCGACGGCAAGGTACCGACAGCATCACCTACGGCTTCTCGATTAGGACGTCAGTTGGCTACGTTACTGGCAGCAAACAAGGGATGGAGACTGTGGACAGCAGACGTGGCAACCGCATTTCTACTAGGACGGCCGCGAGAACGAGTACTCTACGCCAAAGTACCACAAGACGCACCAGACCTCATGGGCATCGAACCGGACACGCTCATGAAGTTGATCAAGCCTATGTACGGACAAGTGGACGCACCACGACGTTGGTGGCAATGAGCAGTTGACGACCTCAAGGCCAGCGGACTCAAGCAGCACCCCCTGGACCCATGTCTTTTCGTTAGCTACCATAAGGACGGTAGCTGCGACGCAGTTATCCTAGTCTACGTAGACGACATGCTCGGAGGAGGAGGTCGCAGGCCCGGCAGCAACTACAGCAACATTATGGAAGCAGTCAAGAGCAAATTCAAGTTTTGGAAGTGGTTAGAGGATGACAAGATGGAGTATTGCGGATCGGACCTACACCAGACCACTCACTGGGCAACAAGCACTCCAACGGCACTGAGATCAACATCAAGATGCAGTCCTACGCCTCCAACCTCAAACCGATCACGATTGATCAGAAGGACGGCAACAACGACCGACTACTCACGCCGAAGGAGATACGCCAGCTTCGAGGACTACTAGGAGCTCTACAGTGGCCAAGTGCGCAGACATGCCCACACACGTCAGCATCGGTCAGCATTCACCAAGGGCAGCTTCCAAAGGCGACAGTGGCGACAGCAAGAGAGGTAAAGAAGACGCTAAGGCTCTACAAGCAGAACGCGGAGGTCGGCCTCAAAATGAGGAAGATTGGCAAGGTCAGCGACATCGAGCTCGTGGCGATGACGGACGCAGCTTAGGAAGTACGACAAGACGGATCTAGTCAAGGAGGGTATGTGATCATGGCATGTCATTCGAAAGTACTTGACGGCGAGGATTCAAATTTCTGCGTTGTTGATTGGAAGTCTTTCAAGTTGACGAGACTAGCCAGGTTATCACTACATGCAGAATCCCAAGCAGCGGCAGCAGGCATGGACGCACTAGAATTTCCGAAGCGATTCTGGGCAGCCCTCATCTACGACAACGTGAACGTCAACATTGACGAGAGCACTCACTACGCAGGAGTCAGCAATCGTGATCGACGCGAAGGCGCTCTACGACGCAGCCAAGAAGGAGAGTATCACCAACTTCCAGGACAAGCGCACCAGCATCGAGGTATTGGCACTACGAGAACGAATTAAGGCTACACAGACGCAATGGAAGTGGGTCTCATCAGAACGGCAGTATGCGGATGGTCTCACGAAGTTAGCGGCAAGGCAGCTCTTCGCAGGCAGACTTCGAGCAGGACGACTTCAGCTACAGCACGACTCTACCTATACGGAAGCCAAGAAGAAGACTAAGGAGGAACGACAGGAGATCCTCAGGAAGAGTAAGATGGAGACGTCATCAGCTACTAAGGCGAGATCACCACTCATGAAGTTGGCAGTTTATTCACATTTACAATGGTTGGAATGGCAGTGGCAGTTCCAGCAGTCTACTATGTATTGCGAGAGTTTGTGGAGCATCGAGACGACTCCAGTGTGAAGTACCAGACCGAGACCAGCAACAAGCGCGAGACGACCGAGGAGACAGCGACGACCAGCATCGACAAGGAGACGACCATCCACCTCAAGAAGACAAGCAATAACCACAAGCAGGTGCGACGGCGGACGGTCGGCGTACAGAGTATGGCCACCTACCGTTTGCAAGGAAATCAGTGGCGGTTTGGTCACAAGATGAATGGGTTCAAGAGTGCAGGCGAAGTTTCAGTAGAAACGACCGAGCCCAGCGAGCGGCAGGACGACTACAACAAGGCAGCAGACGACAGCCCCAAGGGCTGCAGTGAGTGAGCCAACACACCAGCGCAGCTTCAGATGATTTTTACGCTCAGTTTGTATTGCCAGTTATGCAGTCCATATTTAGGCAGTTTGTGCATTTCATGTTCAGGTTGCAGATGCAGATTTGCATTTCATATCTACGCAGCTTGTTTATGCAGTTTCTGAAGCTTGTGCAGAAGAGGATTATCAGTGGAGTTTTAGATCCCACATTTCATATTGAAGGGAGGGCTTCTCCTCTGTCTTTCTTTTTTACTATTTCAGGATGTGAGATATACACTGTACATCGTGTTAATGTGCAGAGCATGACTGTAGCATAGCGAGCGTACCATTGCACTTTGGCAATAAACCTTTTCAGAGCCCTAAAGTCATCCCAGCAGCGGTGAAAAACATCTCAGATGTTATTATGGTTTCTCATTCGTATTGCCATCAGAGACTTCGGGGGCTTTGATGAGTTCATAGGCGGCCACCTTGGCCTGTGCATTCGGGAAGGGTGGCGGTGTATAAAATCGTAAGCTTTTCGTGGTGATCTACGTACGACACCCTCCCCTGAAGCCCAGGAACAATATGTAAAGGGGTGCATGTGTGTATGTCTTGTAGCAGATCCTGCATCAACATTACGCAGTCCCCGGCTCCAGAAAGGACACACACCAACCAACCAACCAACCAAAAAACAGATGAAAGTGGTGGAGCACTTTCTCCAGAAATTACATTTCCATGGCTGGACTGACAGAGGGAGCGCCCCGTCCTCCGTTCCGACCAACCACAAGACAAACAGCACACAGGGACACGCAGCTGACTGGGGTACGCAAACCTGCGTCAGCTCCAGCGGCAGACGGCTACAGAAGTCGACAGGAGTCCTTAGGGGGGCGTGGCCGGATTCTCAGAACAGGCACGGCGCACGCATCAAAGATTCTGCACCGATGCTCTCTGCTCGACGCCTGGATCACGCACCCTGCTGCCCGATTCCCGCTAGCACCATCGTTGCTCCTGCCCTTCAAAGGACACTCTCCAGAAGAACACACACGCCACCCCCGCCCGTGGAACGTTCCCAAATTGGAACTCCAAGGGAGCCAGCACACCAGTGTGCTTATACGAACGCTGCGCCATCACATCCACCAGACGAAGACTATGGTACGCACGCCAGGCGGAAAGCACTGCGTGCGTGGTGGGCGAGGTCGTACAGCTTCTCCAGACCGTTCGAAGGAAGGGGATGCGCAAGTGAAGCATAAAGCGCGGCGTGCCGCCAGCGCGAGACTGGCGTGCGTCATCATCATCATCAGCCTCATCATCATCAGAAGCATCATCATCATCATCATCATCATCATCATCATCATCATCATCATCATCATCATCATCATCATCATCATCATCATCATCATCATCATCATCATCATCATCATCATCATCATCATCATCATCATCATCATCATCATCATCATCATCATCATCATCATCATCATCATCATCATCATCATCATCATCATCATCATCATCATCATCATCATCATCATCATCATCATCATCATCATCATCATCATCATCATCATCATCATCATCATCATCATCATCATCATCATCATCATCATCATCATCATCATCATCATCATCATCATCATCATCATCATCATCATCATCATCATCATCATCATCATCATCATCATCATCATCATCATCATCATCATCATCATCATCATCATCATCATCATCATCATCATCATCATCATCATCATCATCATCATCATCATCATCATCATCATCATCATCATCATCATCATCATCATCATCATCATCATCATCATCATCATCATCATCATCATCATCATCATCATCATCATCATCATCATCATCATCATCATCATCATCATCATCATCATCATCATCATCATCATCATCATCATCATCATCATCATCATCATCATCATCATCATCATCATCATCATCATCATCATCATCATCATCATCATTCATCATCATCATCATCATCATCATCATCACGTCATCATTATCATCATCACCATCATCATCACCACCATCAGCGTCATCATCACCAAATCATCAACATCATCATCATCAACCTCATCACCACCATCATCATCATCATCATCATCATCACCACCATCATCATCATCATCATCATCATCATCATCATCAGCATCAGCATCAGCATCAGCATCAGCATCATACTCATCGCCATTGTCATCGTCATCATAAGCATCATCATCATTATCAGCAGCATCATCAGCATCATCAGCATCATCGTCATCATCATCAGCCTCATCATCATCAGAAGCATCACCATCTCAATCACCATCACCATCACCATCATCATCCGCATCATCGTTATCATCATCATCATCATCATCATCATCATCATCATCATCATCATGATCAGCCTCATCATCATCAGAAGAATCATCAGCATCGTCAGCATCATCGTCATGATCGTCGTCATCGTCATCATCACAACCATCACCATCACCATCACAATCACCATCATCGTCATCATCAGCATCAGCATCAGCATCATCATCATCAGCATCATCAGCATCATCATCACCACCACCACCACCATCACCATCATCAGCATCAGCATCAGCATCAGCATCAGCATCAGCATCAGCATCAGCATCGTCAGCATCAGCATCAGCATCAGCATCATCATCGTCATCATCATCATCATCATCATCATCATCATCATCAGCATCAGCATCAGCATCATCATCATCATCATCATCATCATCATCATCATCATCATCATCATCATCATCATCATCATCATCATCATCATCATCCATCGTCCCATCGCAGCCCCTTGCCTTCTAAGAAGGCCTCTCCGCGTCCGAGCCACTTTTGCTCGTCGCCAACGCTCCGACCCAAGACACTGTCCGTAGGGCCGTGTCGCCACTGCAGCTTCGGCCACCCGCGTCCTCGTACGGCCACCGTCCAAAGAGCTTCACCTCCTGGGTCGACATATTGCCTCGTGCGGCGTCGACGAGAAGAAGGCAAGCAGACAGACGCGGAAGCTTAGTCAGAGCGCAGTCCCTGCAGCTCTGCAAAACACGACGCGACGTATTTCCCGAGCACTGCCCGACCAACTAACTACCTCCTGCAATCTGTCTCTGGTCCCACCCCATGGCCCCCCTCTGGCGCCAACCAGAGTAGCACTTGAAGGCGGAGGTGAAAACACAATCCTCGGAGAGCGAAAAGAAAGACGCAGACGTGCCCCACTCCTTCCGACGTATCCACGACTACCACGGCGACCCAAAAATCCCCGTCGTGGTTTCGTCACGAAATGGCTCCCCTGAGGTCTAGACCCATTCCCGAGACCGGCTTTCATCCTGAACTGGTGAGGGCCTGGTGAGGGCCCCCTTGATGCCGAAAATTAGCAAAAGCCTTCCGTCGTGATTTCTTCGCGACGAGAGGATGCCAGGGGACGAACAGCGAGGAGACGAGGAAGGAGCGCAAGAGAAAGAAGGCCTAAACGCGCGCCTGGGAACTCCGTGACCCACTATGGCTCGAGGATGGCACGGCGGCGGCACGGGCGCAGCGTTGATCCCGCACAGGCAGGACGGCGCATGCAGCAAGCGGCGGCTCCCTGAAGGGCCGCGGGCCACCAGGCAAAGGCGACAGGCTCGCTTCAGTGCGGACGCGACCGCAAGAAACGCTCGCAAGAAGCCCAGCCCTGAAAGCCCGCAAGCGCGAGATGCAAGCGAGGGGGGGACCCAAAGCACCCTCCACGCAGCAGCTCTTCCAGCTGCCGTAGGGGGCGAAGAAACCCAGGGCAGCCCGAAGAAAAGCACTCGGCTTCTGGATGTGCGTCCCCAGCTGTAGGAGGGCGCCAACTACATCATCGATCCTGGCCAGGCCCCTCCTGGATCGGTGTATGCGCCCGTCCTTGCTCGACAGGGACGGCGCACACCCCGATGCTGCGCCCAGGATCGGCCGCCTGGCCAGGACCGGTGCGGGCGGACACGGTGCGCCCGTCGACTCGCGGCTGCTCGCAGGGCGGCCACGCGCAGACCGAGCGGGCCCCGTCGTTGCCTGGGTTCCGTCCACTCGCGAGTGGCCACCCTGCGGACCAGCGGCGTGCGGTCGCCGACTTCTGCGCTTCCCGCCGTTACCTCGACACCCCCCCCTCCACGAAGGTCGAATATTTGGAAGCTCGGAGGTTGACACCAGCACCAAGAGCGGAAGCTGTCTCCACCGCTCCACCGAGGGAAGATGGTCCGGATCTCGGCGACGGTGACAACACTCGGGCTCCATAGGCGGCCGACAGATTAACACCAGCACCAAAATCAAGGATCAGCTTCCGCTGGTGGAGACATCCCACTGTTTAGAAGCGGACGGAGGGTCTGCGCTGGATGGGCCCCAAGAAAAAGCAAACGCAAGGGGGGACGAGGGCCAATCCGCTCAAAATCGGTCCCCAGACCCCTCCCGAGGTAGTCTCCCAAATCTGGATCATGTGCGGACGCCCCGCGATCACCCTGCATTGGTTTTTTGCAGGGACGGCGGGGGGGCCGGCAAACACCAGTAGAAAGTACACGCTGAGCCACAGTGTGGATCACGCGTGGGCGCGACAAGATCACCTTGCACTTCTTCGCAACCTTCCTATGGTGTCGGGTCCTCGTTTTGAAGTGACAGCGCCCCGCGTTCCTTCCTTCCTTCCTTCCTCTCATCCTCCCCCCCCCTCCTCCTCACCCCCCGTGGGCCCCAGTGGCCCCACAGGGAGCTCCACCGAAGGCCCCAGTAGGGGTGCCCGCATGCGGTTCCCCCACCCAGGGCAGCGCTTCGTGGCCCCCACAGGGAGCTCCACCGTAGGCCCCAGTGGGGGTGCCCGCATGCGGTTCCCCCACCCAGGGCAGCGTTTCGTGGCCCCACAGGGAGCTCCACCGAAGGCCCCAGTGGGGGTGCCCGCATGCGGTTCCCCCACCCAGGGCAGCGCTTCGTAGCCCCATAGGGAGCTCCACCGAAGGCCCCAGTGGGGGTGCCCGCATGCGGTTCCCCCACCCAGGGCAGCGTTTCGTGGCCCCATAGGGAGCTCCACCGAAGGCCCCAGTGGGGGTGCCCGCATGCGGTTCCCCCACCCAGGGCAGCGCTTCGTAGCCCCATAGGGAGCTCCACCGAAGGCCCCAGTGGGGGTGCCCGCATGCGGTTCCCCCACCCAGGGCAGCGTTTCGTGGCCCCGTAGGGAGCTCCACCGAAGGCCCCAGTGGGGGTGCCCGCATGCGGTTCCCCCACCCAGGGCAGCGTTTCGTGGCCCCATAGGGAGCTCCACCGAAGGCCCCAGTGGGGGTGCCCGCATGCGGTTCCCCCCCCCAGGGCAGCGCTTCGTGGCCCCATAGGGAGCTCCACCGAAGGCCCCAGTGGGGGTGCCCGCATGCGGTTCCCCCACCCAAAGGGCAGCGTGGGGGTGCCCGCATGCGGTTCCCCCACCCAGGGCAGCGCTTCGTGGCCCCACAGGGAGCTCCACCGCAGGCCCCAGTAGGGGTGCCCGCATGCGGTTCCCGCGCCCAGGGCCGCGCTTCGTGGCCCCGTAGGGAGCTCCACCGAAGGCCCCAGTGGGAGTGCCCGCGTGCGGTTCCCCCACCCAGGGCAGAGTTTCGTGGCCCCACAGGGAGCTTCACCGCATGCGGTTCCCCCACCCAGGGCAACGCTTCGTGGCCCCACAGGGAGCTCCACCAAAGGCCCCAGAGGGGTGGGGTCACCCACCCAGGGCAACGTTTCGTGGCCCCACAGGGAGCTCCACCGTAGGCCCCAGTGGGGGTGCCAGCATGCGGTTCCTCCACCCAGGGCAGCGTGTATCGCAGCCTCACAGGGAGCTCCACCGCAGACCCCAGCGGGTGGGGCCGCATGCGGTTCCCCCACCCAGGGCAGCGTTTCGTGGCCCCACAGGAGCTCCACCGCAGGCCCCAGCGGTGGTGCCCGCATGCGGTTCCCCCACCCAGGGCAGCGTTTCGTGGCCCCACAGGGAGCTCCACCGTAGGCCCCAGTGAGGGTGCCCGCATGCGGTTCCCCCACCCAGGGCAGCGTTTCGTGGCCCCACAGGGAGCTCCACCGCAGGCCCCAGTGGGGGTGGCCAGCATGCGGTTCCCCCACCCAGGGCAGCGCCTCGTGGCCTCATAGGGAGCTCCACCGCAAGCCCCAGCGGTGGTGCCCGCATGCGGTTCCCCCACCCAGGGCAACGCTTCGTGGCCCCACAGGGAGCTCCACCGTAGGCCTCAGTGGGGGTGCCCGCATGCGGTTCCCCCACCCAGGGCAGCGCATCGCGGCCTCACAGGGAGCTCCACCGAAGGCCCCAGTGGGGGTGCCCGCATGCGGTTCCCCCACCCAGGGCTGCGTTTCGTGGCCCCACAGGAGCTCCACCGAAGGCCCCATTGGGGGGGGTCCGCATGCGGTTCCCCCACCCAGGGCAAAGTTTCGTGGCCCCACAGGGAGCTCCACCAAAGGCCCCAGAGGGTGGCCCGCATGCGGTTCCCGCGCCCAGGGCAGCGCTTCGTGGCCCCATAGGGAGCTCAACCGTAGGCCCCAGTGAGGGTGCCCGCATGCGGTTCCCCCACCCAGGGCAGCGCTTCGTGGCCCCACAGGGAGCTTCACCGAAGGCCCCAGTGGGGGTGGCCCGCATGCGGTTCCCCCACCCAGGGCAGCGCTTCGTGGCCCCACAGGGAGCTCCACCGCAGGCCCCAGTGGGGGTGCCCGCATGCGGTTGACCCACCCAGGGCAGCGTATCGCAGCCTCACAGGGAGCTCCACCGCAGGCCCCAGCGAGGGGGGGGCGCATGCGGTTCCCCCACCCAGGGCAGCGCTTCGTGGCCCCATAGGGAGCTCCACCGCAGGCCCCAGCGGTGGTGCCCGCATGCGGTTCCCCCACCCAGGGCAGCGCTTCGTGGCCCCACAGGGAGCTCCACCGAAGGCCCCAGTGAGGGTGCCCGCATGCGGTTCCCCCACCCAGGGCAGCGTTTCGTGGCCCCACAGGGAGCTCCACCGCAGGCCCCATGTGGGGGTGGCCCGCATGCGGTTCCCCCACCCAGGGCAGCGCTTCGTGGCCCCATAGGGAGCTCCACCGCAGGCCCCAGCGGTGGTGCCCGCATGCGGTTCCCCCACCCAGGGCAGCGCTTCGTGGCCCCACAGGGAGCTCCACCGAAGGCCCCAGTGAGGGTGCCCGCATGCGGTTCCCCCACCCAGGGCAGCGTTTCGTGGCCCCACAGGGAGCTCCACCGCAGGCCCCATGTGGGGGTGGCCCGCATGCGGTTCCCCCACCCAGGGCAGCGCTTCGTGGCCCCATAGGGAGCTCCACCGCAGGCCCCAGCGGTGGTGCCCGCATGCGGTTCCCCCACCCAGGGCAGCGTTTCGTGGCCCCACAGGGAGCTCCACCGTAGGCCCCAGTGTGGGTGCCCGCATGCGGTTCCCCCACCCAGGGCAGCGTTTCGTGGCCCCACGGGGAGCTCCACCGAAGGCTCCAGTGGGGGTGCCCGCATGCGGTTCCCCACCACCACTGTGGCAGGCCCCTCACACAATTCGTGGCCCCATAAGGAGCTCCACCGAGGACGATATTCACAACTGCGGTACTCACATTTGCATCTGGTTGGGTCCTTCGCCAGGCTAATGTTTGACAGGGACGGCCGGGGGGCGGCATGTTGCCTGCTGCGTGCAGGCCCAGCATCCCTGTCAGCAAAAAATGCACAGAGTTAACTTTGCCAGGGACGGCATGGAGGGCGGCGTACTGCCTGCTGCGTACAAACCCACCACCCCTGTGAAAAAACAAATGCAAAATGATTGCGGGTGTCCGCCCACAAGCAAAACACAATGCTTGCAAGCCCGCCGTCACTTTGCAATGGTTTTTGACAGGGGTGGTAGGGGGGTCGACAGATTGCCCAATCTGGCTCTTTTGAAGCGCGTGTTGCAACTGGCACGTGCGGCGCACCTCGAGGGCTTCGCGCACCTGGCTGCCGTCTGCATTGGTTCCCGATGGTTGTCGATGGCCGCCCCTATCTGTGCTGAGAATCGGGTGCTACTTATGTAACTAGTGGGAGGGCGGGTGCGAGTGAGCGAGACAGCTGGAAAGTCTGGACCACTGCGGCGACACGTGGGGGCATGAGCTCTCCAGCTTTCCTGGGACGGGCACCCCCAACGGCGGGAACAAAAAGAATGATACCGCTCTTCTTGGACTGCGCCGTTCGTGTACCAAGACCAAGTTGACACACGCCGCCGCGTGTGCCAGCGCGCGCGGAAGCGACCACCGGACTGGTCTGGTACATTGTCGGCGGCTAGCGACGGGGGGGAGTGAGAAGGAGAAGGCCTTCTCAGAAGGCGTCGGGACTTCTCAGGAGCCTTCGCGCCTTCTGAAAAGTTGTTTGTGTATTCGGGGAAGGCTTGGAAAACTTCTCAGAGGCCGGGGGGCTTCCGAGCCTTCTAAGAAGGCATTCTCCTTCTCATTTCCCCCTCAGGCTCGCCGCCGGCACATGCTTGGCGCCGTCCGACGTACGCCGACTCCTTGAACGGCCTGGACGCTTCTGGGAAGGACTTCGAGAAGTCCCCTGCCCTTGTGCGAATGCGGGGGAACGCCGGGGGGGGACACCGGCTCAGGGGGGGAAACATCGAGCTGGGAAAGATCGGCCTGAGGCCCCCAATAGCGAATCCGCACG